CTATTAGCACTGCTTAACAAAAAAGAATTAATTTTAGTAGCGGACCGTGAATGTGACCGTTATTTCTGTGCAGAGCAGAGTTACAGGCGCTAAAAGTAAGTATATTTGTGTATTATAGGTGTGTAATCAGGACTGGGGTGGGAGGAGCCGGATGAGGGCGAGATGACCGCCTTTTGATGAGTACTATATGCCAGGGTGCGGGCACAGGCAGGCCAGCCATCGGCGGGACTTTTTATTAAACAGGCAGTCCTCCAAAGACCCATTTTACAGACAAGAACACAGAAATGAAAAGTGGTTAAGTAATTTACCCAAAGCTTTGAAACCAGAATGCAGACTCAAGACTGTTGGAATCTCAGTGTCCTCTCTGTTGTACCTGCTGCCTGTCGATCTCTGTCCCCAAGGAAAAGCAGGTGGGACTCCCAGCCACTGCCCCTCAAAGCCACTCCTTTTCTCTCCCTTCCAAGTGGGGGTGAGGGCTATGTCAGCACAGAGCAACAAGTCTTTGTTAACATTTCCTTTTGAGATTATTATAGATTCAGTGCAGGGTAAGAACTGATACAGAGAGCTCTTGTATCCTTTCAACATGTATATTTATAATCTGCTACATACTGACACTCTCCTTGGTGCTGGGGTCACAAAGACAAGATGGCCTTTCCTCTTGAAGACTTTAGAGGCCAGCGGGGAACATATAAAAAAATAATATCGAGTTGGTTAAGACCAAAAGGTAATGCCATTTTCACCTGCCAATTAGCAAGCAACAATGATAGTAATGATATTCTAGCTAAGCTCCTGTGAAAGAGGCCCTCCCATATTTTATTGGTGAAAGTGTAAACGGAGGCAAATAGGAAAGCGAGTTGGCAATATGCATGAAATATTTTCATCTCTCGGCTAATATTTTTTGAGCGAGTGCCTGCTATATGCCAGGCACTGGACTAGACCCATGGGGGAAACGCTGAACAAAGCAGACACTGCCCAGCCCTTCTGAGACTTACACAGGCGCGTCTGGTTTACAGGCAGACAAGAGTGTGAGAAGTGCTGTGAGAGGCAAAGTGGAGGCGTTACAGAAGCACTTGTGAGGGGAGCTGAGTTCAGCCTTGGGTGGTTAGGAAGGCTAACCTAGAGGAGAGGATGGAGGAGGGCCCTCCGGCTATTAAATGATGAAGAGGAGTTAGCCAAAGGAAGAGGAGACAGGCTGGCGTGGAGAAAGTACCCTAAATAGCATGAGCAGCACGCTCACGGGAAGGATGAGCATCAAAGGAGAATGGCCTAGAAAATCTGGCAAAAGTATCTCAAGGAATAACCCAGAATACAGAATAACAGCAAGCCAACCTTTCCAACGTGAAGATTTTCACTACATTGTTACTCATAATGGTGGAATATTATAGTCTATTTCAATAAAAGAGATCTGGTAAAGTTATTGATGGTACATCCACAATATAGAATATTTTGTAACCATTGAAAATAATGTTTTCAAAGTGTTTTTTAATATTAAAATGCTTATGTTAAAATGTTAAATGAGAAAGGCAGGATACATAATTTCATATCCTAAATGACCACAAGCATATTAAGTGTGTGTGTGTGTGTGTGCGCACGTGAATAAATGGAAGGAGGCAGGTTAAAATATGAATAGGATTGTCTTTGGACAGTGAGATTAGATTATAGGTGGGTTTTGTGTATATGCTGTTTATAGCATGATGGTTAGCCTGGAGCAAAACCCAGTTCATTCATTTACTTTTTGTGTAACCTTGGGCAAGTTACTTCACTTCTGTGTCTCAGTTCCTCATTTGTGAAATAGGAATAATTATAGCACCTACATGATAGGTTGTTGTAAGCATTATCATGTACAGTATGTGGGCAGGCTACTATTATCATTATATCAATTATTAGCATTCTGCTCTCTATTTTTAAAATTTTCCTATAATGTACTTATACGACTATTAAATGAAAAACATTTTAAATCACTCTGTTAAATGTTGTAAGGGACTTGTGTTGTAAGTTAGTAGTATGTGTTTTCAAGGAGACACTGGGAAGGGGCAGCTTATCCATCTGGGGGAAAGAAAGATGTCAGAGAAGGATCGCTGAGAGAGGAAGATGCTGTCTCAGCTGACTTTCAAGAACAAGGACTTAAGAGAAGAGCAGGAGGGAATTCAAGACAAATGGAACATGAATCAAAAACTTAGAATCTTAGTGATGACAAGCCAGAAAGGGCTTAAAGTTCATCCAGGCCACTTTCTACCCATGCAAGTTTCCCTCTACAGCAGTCCTACGGAGTCTTAACTGCATTCAGAGAGGAGCTCACCACTGTATGAACAAACCCAGCCATGGCTGGGCAGTTCTTTGTCACAAAGTGTTTCCCCATAGGTACACAGTCAGCACTCATCTACCATTGCACTGACGTACAGACACACCAGAGCAAAACCTAAGCAACAAGTCCACGCCAACAGACGCCTGTGGGCTGTCAGAGTCACCTTGGCGTGGTCATCAAAGCAATATTCCCCACTCAACCGCACGGTCCTGGTGCTTGAGCATGGCTTTGAGATGCCCGACAAACATTACTCACGCCATTGTTTTCAAGTGCAAAAGGCACAAGAGTGTTGAAAGTTTAGGTACAAAGTATTATATGATTGCAATGGAAAGAGAGAACATTAAAAATATGAAAATAATACTTTTCCTTTTTATAATAGCACTAGAGGCCCAAAGCACGAAATTCGTGCAAGGGGTTCGGCGCTCACAGCCCCGGCTTCGTCAGGAAGGTCGTCCGGACAGTTGTTCTGCCGTTTGGTCTAATTAGCATGTTAGCTCTTCATTATATAGGATAATTGATTCTGAAGAAAATAGTGAATTTATGTAATATATAAAAACAGTTGTGACAGCAGTTGGCACAATGTAAAGAAGAGATGTAATTGGAAAATCTGTTAAGTATGTGGCTAGAGAAACATCAGTACTGTGTGCCCACAGGAGAGCACTGGAAATACACCGAGGAACTGGGAGGCCAGTCCTGGCGAGAGGCTTTATTCGAAGCCTGTAGGTCTGAGCACTATTGGAAGCTAAACAACAGCAGCAGATGTTATACTAGCAGGTACAGACCCTGTGGCAACTGTCACCTCCCCAACACCTTTGACATCTAGTTAAAACTGAACTACATGATAAAGATAGCGCTACAAATCAGCAAGGCGAGAACGGGTTATTCAATTAATCCGTTGAGCCTTCTGGATTAAAAAAAAAAACTGAAAAATAAAGTTGGGTCTCTATTTCACTCTTTACATCAAAACTAATTCCTGATAAATCAAATCTTTAACTGTGAAAAATGAAACCATAAGAAGAAATTTTTTAAAGAATTAGAGAGGTGAAAACACTTCTAGCATGACATACACCCAGAAATCATAAAATAAACTCAGAAAAATATATTTGTAGTTCCTATCACAGGCAAAACGTCTGTTTTCATGATATATAAAGCTCTCCTACAAATCAATAAGAAAATACCAACAACTCAATGGAAAGTAGAAAAAGAAATACAACAGCTTTTAATCACACGAAACGATGTTCAAATGCATTCATAAGAGAAACGTTAAATTAGCCCACACATTTTTCACCTATGAAATAGGAAGGGCTCAGGAAAAGTGATAATACACTCAGATACTGATGGTGAGTTGTAAATTGGTAAACTTTTATGACGGAAACTTGGCATTACCAGTCAATATTACACATGTGAGGTTTTTAGCAATTCCACCTCCAACAATTTATCCTTCATATATCTTAATATGTATGAAGTAATGTATGTATAAGGTTATTCATTGCGCCACTGTCTATGAGAGCAAAGGTAGAATGTCTATCACTATCAGACTACCAAGTAGATATTTTCAAAATGAGGCAGATATTTATGTTCAGATATAAAACACCTCCAAGACATACGGTTAATTGGAAAGAGCAAAATGTATTGCACACTATGATTTGTGTTAACAATAGAGCGCTATTCAGGTGATAGATGGAGACAGGTTTTTGCTTGTATGTGTTCAGAAGATTTCTGGAAGGCTAACCAGAAAGTACTAACAGTGGTTGCCTCCTCAGAGGCCCACTTGATAGCTGTAAGTTCAGGTTGAGATAAATTTTTTTTACCATAATGCACCTTTGTACCTTTTGTACCACATGTATCAGCTAACCAAAATAAACTGAATTTAAAAACAAATTCCCTGCTCAAAGCAAATCCCTTGCTCTTCTCTGATACCCCATCTTTTCCTTGTGCTTGCAGACTTAGATCACCTATAAAACCATGAGCAACTTGAGGGCTGCACTGTGTCTCCATTGAATTCCCATCTCCGGCATCCAGCACAGTGCCTTACACACAAAAAGAGACTTAGAAGAAGAAGAAAAAAAAGTGATGCCTTGAAGAGTGATGGAGACCTTTTTCTTGGAAAGAAGTCTAGGCCAGCGTTACATATGGCCCTAATACAGCAGCGAGCAGGGCTGTAAGGCCCCAAGAACATCTACCCACCAGTCCTGGGGTTCTACCTTTAAGAGGAGGGAGGGTAAGAAAGAGACAGAGACAAAGAGAGTTCAAAACAGAAACTGAGCCATGTTCTATAGCTAATTCAGCTGATTTCATCTCAGCACAGGTACACCCAGCACTCCCTAAGGGAAGGCCTAACGGGAGGCCCACATTTTGATCAGCAATCATCTCTGCCCCTTTCTGATCATCTACAGATTTAAGACCACATAATCATCCCCCACGTCACAGAGTGAAGGGAGACTAAGAGGCTCCAAATCCCTTCTAAGACTTGCTTCTCCCTTCTCAGCAAGATTAGAGCAGTCAACAGCCGTCTGCCTATGTGTTCAGACCCAGCAGCCCGGGCCGCACTGCCCAGTGCCGGAGGGCAGTGTCTGGGACCCTAGTCTGTGGTCCGAAGTGTAGGGCATACGATCCATCTGCCCCGTGGCAGTGAGTAAGCTGGGGACCCTACCACAGCCAGGACGGAAAAGCCAGGGACCGGCTTCCCGCAGCCATGCTGAAAAACAGTGAGAGGAGGTGGTCTTGGAGCTACAGGCCCTGGAATACCGCGGAGGGTACCGATGCACCCACTTCAGGGAACAGCCAACACCGCGGGAGCATCTGCTCCCTGGAGGCGCGTTCCGGCTCCCAGGCCAGCATCCCACCGTGGACCGAGGGCAACTATAACTACTACATCGAGGAGGACGAGGACGGGGCGGAGGAGGAGCAGTGGAAAGACGACTTGGGCGATGTGGCCGAGGAAGACCAGCAGCCAGAGGAGGCCGCCCGGACGGAAGGCCGCACCGACGGCTCCACGCTGAACGTGAACGTGGGCGGCCAGAGCTACCACCTGGACTGCGCGCAGCTGGCCTGCTACCCCAAGACGCGCCTGGGCCGCCTGGCCGCCTGCACCAGCCGCGGCCGCCAGCTGGGCCTGTGCGACGACTACGAGGCGCAGACGGACGAGTACTTCTTCGATCGCGACCCGGCCGTCTTCCAGCTGGTCTACAACTTCTACCTGTGCGGGGCGCTGCAGGTGTGCAACGCGCTCTGCCCGCGCCGCTTCCTGGAGGAGCTGGGCTACTGGGGCGTGCGGCTCAAGTACACGCCGCGCTGCTGCCGCATCTGCTTCGAGGAGCGGCGCGACGAGCTGAGCGAGCAGCTCAAGATCCAGCGCGAGCTGCGCGCCCAGGCGCGGGCCGAGGAGGCCGAGCAGCTCTTCCGCGACGTGCGCTTCTGCGGGCCGCAGCGCCAGCGCCTCTGGAACCTCATGGAGAAGCCCTTCTCGTCCCCGGCCGCCAAGGCCATCGGGGTGGCCTCCAGCCTCTTCGTGCTCATCTCCATCGTGGCGCTGGCCCTCAACACGGTGGAGGAGATGCACCAGCGGGCGGAGGGCGGCCGCTGGGCGGTGCTGGAGCACGTGGAGGTGCTGTGCATCGCCTTCTTCACGCTCGAGTTCCTGCTGCGCCTGGCCTCCACGCCCGACCTGCGTCGCTTCGCGCGCAGCGCCCTCAACCTGGTGGACCTGGTGGCCATCCTGCCGCTCTACCTGCAGCTGCTGCTCGAGTGCTTCACGGACGAGGACCAGCGGCGCGGCCAGGGCTCCTCCCGGGAGCACGACCTGGAGACGGTGGGCAGGGTGGGCCAGGTGCTGCGTGTCATGCGCCTGATGCGCATCTTCCGCATCCTCAAGCTGGCGCGGCACTCCACCGGCCTGCGCGCCTTTGGCTTCACCCTGCGCCAGTGCTACCAGCAGGTGGGCTGCCTGCTGCTCTTCATCGCCATGGGCATCTTCTCCTTCTCCGCTGCCGTCTACTCTGTGGAGCACGACGTGCCCGGCACCAACTTCACCAGCATCCCGCACTCCTGGTGGTGGGCCGCGGTGAGTGCCATGGCCGTGGGCTTTCCTGCTCTCCTCACCGCCCTCCCATTCCCGGGTGCTCAGCTGCCTGCCTTCATCCTCTGATCGCCCCTTTGCCTTGCAAAAGGACCACCCCATGGCTGCCTCCAGCTAACGAAAAAGAGAGAGGGTTGTGGGGGGTTGGAAAGACAGAGATGCTGTAGTCCAGTAAGTAACAATTTGACTTGGCCCTCAGAATCTCCAAATCTAGAGTTAGTTTTAAAACCCTTGCCAGGCAGATTTTAAGAATTCGTTGTTGATGTCTGTGGGAAGCTGCCTGATCACCATTCTTGTTGCCGCTCATTGAACAGCTGTTATCCTAAGTAGTTGATAACTTTATCTTCACCCAAGGTGGTGGTTTTGATCACTATTTCTACTTAAAACAGAACAAGTTGGAAGTGGTTTCCGTTTTGTTGTTGTTGTGATTGTTGTGTGTGTTGTTGTTTTGTAAGGAGACTGCATGTTTATTCCAGAGAGGAAGTGAGACTTGGCTGAACACTGTCACCTTAACTGAAATCCCATTGGTCCTAGCTAAACTGAGTGAGTTAAGGAGCACCTAAAACTGAAACTTGCTCCAATGTCACGGAAACGCTTTCAGGACCTGGAATTATTGCCTCATTTTATAGAGGCACCGAGGTGCAGAGAGTTTGAGTGCAGTCACACAGCTAAATCCAGAGAGAAGACTGAAGCCCAAGCCAGTACAAGCGCAAAACCATTGCCCCTTCCACACCCAGCACCGCCTCTTCCATGCGTTAGCTCGTCTGCAGGCCTTGAACAGTGACTATACTAGTTATTTTTGTCACTTCTTTCTGTAGTAGTTGCCTTTTCATGCCAATTTATGCCATCTACTCTCATACCTGCATTTCTGGGATGCTAGACTAATCCCTGAAAAATCCCTGACGTCCTGGAAATGCTGACTGTGTCTTCTCGGGTCAGTGAGTAAGCTGGCATGTGTGCATACGAAGAACTAGGTAAATTATGTGGCTTCCATATTTTCTTTTTGTTGTTGACACTATTACAGATGCCTCCAATTTTCCCCCCTTTGCCCACCTACACCTAGCCCCACCACCCCACCCCCAGCCTTCACCACACTGTTGTCTGTGTCCATGGGCTC